ACGGCCTTTGAAGACACGCGTATATATATATGCGGTCTTACAGGCTTGTGTAGCATCTGCGAGTATGGCTAGGTAGTGTTCTATTGCTGCGATAGAGGCTTTCGTAATTGGGCTATAGTGGTGAATGTGCGCGTGCGGGTGCGATCACATGAGCTGAGCGTGGAATGGATGTCATTTTGCTACGCATGATCATCTCCATCGCAGCTACACGTGTGGCGAGTGCTGAACGAACACGAACCAAGATCACAGTTTTAATACTATATGTAGTCATAGCCATTAATACTATATGTAGTCATAGCCATTAATACTATATGTAGTCATAGCCACACGCATGAGAGCATCAATCAGAGCACGCCTCACGCACTCATCTACGATAGAACGTACAACAACTAGTGAAGCATGGACTTTCTCACATGCTACATAGCAAACACAAAACAAAATTACTAACCCTACAATAATCGATTCCATCTTTACACTGTCCACTTTCCATATAGTCATGCATGTACACACCCCTCCAATGGAAAGCATTGGAATATATGACGGGTGATTTAGCACCCCACGACACGATTATTTTGGCACAAGGTCTAAAACAGCCTATTATGATGGATGAATGGCCGCAGGCGCGTAATTTAGTAACACAGGAAAATAAATCACAAGAAAATGCCGGGTATGTACTTGAATCAAACCCTAAAAAAATAAGTCACAAGAAAATGTAGGGTATGTACTTGAATTTGTTCACTACACCTGCCCTGGGCAATTCAGTGCTCTCATATTACGAACTATTCTATCACGTGGTTTCTGAGCATGCAGTGCTCCCGACAACCGAGACAATTGAAAACGTTATATTGAAGGCGAAAAACCCATAGCCTTCTGTTTGAGTTAGAAGGCTATGAAAAAAACCCTCTGGTATATGAAACGCTGCGGCATGCCCAGACAGCTCCAACCCCATACTGCAACAGTTGCGCAACTATTTAATTAGGTGCCTGTCCCGTTAGTATGTACAAGTACACAAGTTTAGTCGTCCTATCAGCGTGTGCTGTATTTGCCTGAGTTTCTTTCTATGACAATTAGTTCTTATTATTCACTAGTTTATCGACTTATGAGAATTAATTTTTATTATTCACTAGTTTATCGACTATGGGTATGTGATGGCCCGCGTCCATAGAACATTTTGCGTAGCTCATCCGCCCAGAAAACAGACGACGACAGTATCACAATGAACACCACATCTGACAGCTCTAACGCTTCACACTGGAACACACTCTGCAGAGGAGGGAAGTATATGACCAGCAGTTGCCCTACGATAGATCCACCCACCTGCGTAGAAAGGTGGATCGCAAATGCGCGTGTGAGTGCTTGTGTCGTGAGTGGAGAAGACCGTGTTTGTGTCTTGAGAGTTTTGGAGATGAAGGGTTAAAGTTTTAGGGGTTGATATGTTTCACAACCTTAGTGTGTAGAAACTTTATAGGCATTTTATAGATATTTTACATAGACGATATATGCAGACATTATATATAAAAACTTTATAGACATTTATATATAAATATTTTACATAGACGCTAAATATAAACATTCCATTCTATAGACAATTTATAAAGAAACTTTATAGACATTTATATAGCCGTTATATATAAACATTCTATAAACAATTTATATAGAAACTTTAGGAACATTCCATGTGCATTTTATATACATTTTGTATAAATATCATTACAGACAATTCACATAGAAACATCATAGACATTTTATAACATTCATTATAACCTCGAACATGTCGCATCGTATAATACTATTCACATCCAATCTAAAGTACAGCGATGCTGCAAATGAAGCTGTTCAGCCATCTAACCAGACTTGTATTATACACAATTGACGTGCGAGTGTAGCGGGTTCACTCCCCTGCAACACACACAAGCACACAGCATCACAATAGACAACACACACAAGCACACAACACCACAATAGACAACATACCGCCCAACACAGTGGGACATTGGTGAAGAATCCAATCCTGAATATTGACTTGTCAGCCGAGCGACAGCACATGGCGTTGAACATATCGAACATCACAAACGTCGTAAATGACATTGTAGTCGTCCTGGCGCTCACTTCTGTTGCCTGAGGAGCGTAAAGCACGATGACAGCAGCGTGTGACACGGTGTCAGTAGTTGGTTGCGAATGTTAAACATGCCGAACTGCACACTCAGCACATAACACCACAAGCTGTTTGTGAAAAGATACACTCAGCACATAACACCACAAACTGTTTGTGAAGAGATACACTCAGCACATAACACCACAAACTGTTTGTTAAAAAGATACACTCAGCAGCACACGAGCACACGCCACACCAATGGCGACCGTCCACCGCACATGCGACATGACTTACATCGCCCATCTCGTGCGTGAAGACGTACAACGACCCCGCAATGATGAAGACGGCACTCAGCACAACGTTCTCCAGCAGTGACCGTGTGATGATTGGTTCACTGAGTGCGCGTGGGGGGCGTTTCATGACATCTTGGTCGACGGGCTCTACGCCCAAACTCTGTGCCGGTGGGCCGTCCATGATAATGTTGATCCAGAGTATTTGCATGGCATTCAGCGGACTAGGGTAGCCTAACAAATTAGCAATACCTGCGGATATGGGTGCAAGCAAAGGAGCAAACTTGGTGAATGTTAGAGCCCGTATGAAATATGAGGACAATAAACCGGTTGCGCATGTTTTTATACACACATACACGCACACACACACACATATATATATATATACCTACACACACATATACACACATATACACAGACACACACATATATATATATATATATATACATATATACATATATACATATATATACTAATACACATGCACAGACACATAAACATCTAACTACTTAATTCAAAGCGTTGTTTGAGAAACGTCCACATGTGTATACACTCAGTGTTCAAAAGATATCCATCTTGTCTGAGCACCGAGATGGTAGTCGCATCTATCAACCCATGCCACACATACCCTAACCTTCTAAATTAGACACAAAATTGGTAAGGAAATGTGCATTCAGCAAGTAAATCTGTTGGATATTTTGCACTAGCCTATACAGTACACATATAGAGGGTCACATGATTCTCACTTCCACATTCTATATTCGAGGGATTATATGGGCACAACCAGGTGTAGATAACACTCGAGCCTACAGATACAAGTCATAGGCATTCGCTGAACACCCACACACACCCCACCCACCCACCCAGACCCACCGACAGTGCCCATGGCTGCAGCTGACGAGCTCAGTTGAAAACGGACGAAGTTGCGGATATTGAAGAAGATGCTCTTGCCCTCCTCGATGGCGCTGAGGATGGTCGAGAAGTCGTCGTCAATCAGGATCATGTCAGCTGCTTCCTTGCACACGTCAGTGCCTGTGGTGCCCATGGCCACACCGATGTCTGCCTGCTTCATGGCGGGTGCGTCGTTCACGCTGCAGATAACACAATCAAGGGACGGCGAAGGTTAGCGTTGTGACACTACGTGGTAAGAGAGTTAGAAGACACACAAGCAGATCAACCCAATGCTGTATGGAGCAATCAGATGGCAATCAAATGTAAATACACGGAGAAACAACAAAACAAACACACACAATCACGAAACACAACAAAGCACACACAATCACAAAACACAACAAACACACACAATCAACGCACGACTAGCACACAGATCAGCAAGATTCATCTGTGGCATAGTCCGACACGCCTGTCCACCACCGCACCACCACATACACCACACACTCTCCTGACACACACACACTCGTCTCTCACACGCACACTCTCCTGTCATACACACACTCTTATATCATACACACACAGCCCCTACCCGTCGCCTGTCATGGCCACGACGTGCCCTCTGGCCTGGAAGGCGTTGATAATTTTGAGTTTGTGTCTGGGTGACGTGCGGTAGAACACGCGCGTAGACACGACGGCATTCTCCAACTCAGCGCCACTCATCTGCTCCATCTGACTGCCCGACAGCACACCGTGTCTGCCCTCAGTGTAGATGCCTATCTTGGTGGCAATGGCCATGGCTGCACGATGGGAAGGCGCGGTGATGTAGGCACAGGGATGTAGGTACAGGGATGTATGTACAATGATGTAGGTACAGGGATGTAGGTACAGTGATGTGGGTACAGGGATGTAGGTACAGTGATGTGGGTACAGGGATGTAGGTACAGGGATGTATGTACAGTGATGTAGGTATAGGGATGGAGGTACAGTGATGTAGGTACAGTGATGTAGGTGCAGTGATGTGGGTACAGTGATGGAGAGGTATAGTGGTGTAGGTGCAGTGATGTAGGTACAGTGGTGTAGGTGCAGTGATGTAGGTACAGTGATGGAGGTACAGTGATTGAGGTACAGTGATGTAGGTGCAGTGAAGTGGGTACAGGGATGTAGGTACAGTGATGTAGGTGCAGTGGTATAGGTACAGGGATGTAGGTACAGTGATGGAGGTACAGTGATGTAGGTACAGTGATGGAGGTACAGTGATGTGGGTACAGGGATGGAGGTACAGTGATGTAGGTACAGGTGTGAGTGCAATGTGCACTACCGGTCGCCTGAGCACAATTGAGGTTCCACTGTTAAGCAGACTCGTGGATGGTTGGGTAGTGAGTGAGCGTGTGTATTTCTGAAGTACGTTCGTGTAGGTACCAGCGGGATTGACTGTGGTGTGTTAGCGTATGGCTCACCCACAGCAGTTTTGGGTAGGACAAGTGGTGTAGATATATGTGACCTTAGTGGAGTACAACTATGTAGATGAAGACACTGGAGTATAACTATGTAGATGAAGACACTGGAGTATAACTATGTAGATGAAGACACTGGAGTATAACTATGTAGATGAAGACACTGGAGTAGGGCTCCCGCTTTCAGGAAGGATGGCTCTAAGATATAACTATGTAGATGAAGACACTGGAGCATAACTATGTAGATGAAGACACTGGAGTATAACTATGTAGATGAAGACACTGGAGCATAACTATGTAGATGAAGACACTGGAGTATAACTATGTAGATGAAGACACTGGAGTATAACTATGTAGATGAAGACACTGCCAAAGAGAACCAAAGCGCCGGGTAGGCAAGCACAACGTTGAGAAAAAGAGCTTTGTGAACGCACACTATGCAAGCCTTCTCCTGCGAAGCGTCACGTGAAAGTAGCTGTGTAGTGATTGGTTTTGCGCAACCTAAGATATCGACCCAATCTGCACAATGAAGACAATTGCACCAGCTGAATCGACTTCATATGCGGACCCAACTTACAGCAAACAGAGGTTACGGAATAGGCCCAACTTACAGTACATAGACGTTACGCAATAGACCCAACTTACAGCACATAGACGTTAGGCAATAGGCCCAACTTACAGCATATAGACGTTACGCAATAGGCCCAACTTACAGCACATAGACGTTACACAATAGCAGTCACATAGGTGATATATCAAGCAGTCCAAGAAATAAGTAACAAGCAGTAGGTATGCAGGGGGTGTGTATCGTCCCACTGGCCTATCTTCAGTGGCATTGCGATGCAGCAGCTATACATATGCGCATCGTCAACGCAAACCCTACAACCCTGAAGCCCAAGACAACACATCGAGTGCACACAACCCGTGGCACCACCCACCCGTTTCCTGGGCATCCCCTGTGACCATGCACACAGTCACGCCACTCTTCTGCAGCCGCGCGATGGATTGGTCCACGCCTGTCCGCGGTGGGTCGTAGATACCCACGATGCTGCACCCGAATGCGAATAAAAGGGACACCGGGTCATTGGGAGGCACAAGGAAAACGGGACAATAGACACCCAGAAATTAAATAACGGGGACACCGGGTCATTGGGAGACACAAGGAAAACGGGACAATGTAAGTCCAGAAATTAAACAACGGGGACACCCGGTCATTGGGAGACACAAGGAAAACGGGACAATGTAAGCCCAGAAATTAAACAACGGGGACACCTGGTCATTGGGAGACACATGGGGTAGAATTACGTGGGGCATTGTCGAGGCTTAAACTTATTGAAGAGTAAACGTTGGGACACAAAAAAGAGAAAAAGAACCAGCGCAGTGTGGGGAGATGCAGTCGAAATGGGACAACGTAGAGAAACAAGAACAGCCATTTACTAGCAGACGCAGCAGACAGCAACTGCAGTCGCATATGTCACACACTGCAACACCGTGACACTGATGTGCTGAGATACTGATGTATTGATAAATTAGGGACATTGATGTATGAATGCATTAGAGACACTAATGTATTACTACCTTCGAGACACTAATGTATTAATACGTTAGAGACACTAATGTATTGTGTACTGATGTATTGATGCACTGGGACACTAGTGTATTGATGTTAGTAAGCAATGAACTCCGATCCCAATCAGAGACGCGAAGCAGACAACAACGGCAATTCTGAATTCGTGCAAGAACAACCCATGGATCAGCAGACACAGACAAACAGTCACAGATGTAGACACAGAAAAACAGTCACAGATGTAGACACAGAAAACAGTCACAGATGTAGACACAGAAAACAGTCACAGATGTAGACGCAGAAAAACAGTCACAGATGTAGACACAGAAAAACAGTCACAGATGTAGACACAGACAAACAGTCACAGATGTAGACACAGACAAACAGTCCCAGATGTA